ACTTTATTATAAAATTTATGTTATTTTTACATTTTATTATTAGATATACATGTCAAATGTAGCCAGAATTTGCAAGGTATGCTTCAATCCAAGATATATTTATAATAATAATTTTGTCAGTAATGCACATTGTTTAGGTTTGTATATTTTTATAGTTATTTTGCAATTATTTTTTTTAGTATGATGAAGGAGGACCAATTACTTCATCTGCTAGTGCACAATTTGTAACCTTTTTGAAAAGTAGACTTGTCTGTAAAAAGGAAGTTTTGAATGGGAATAAAAAAGTTACCTTTTATTATGATCAGCTAGGTAAAAAATTCTAATGTTGTAATAAATAATAAATTCTTATAAATTTTAAAACTTTTGCGAGTTTTTTTTTTTAATAACTGACATAATATTAGTATTTCATAATGGTAATTTTATATAACTTTTTATAACTTAGGTTTTAAATTTTATACTTTTTTGATGTTATTGCATTATATATTCTTAATATATGGTCTTATCTTTTTTTAGCTTTTTCTTATGAAGTTACTTTAACAAGCATTGATAATAAATCTGAGAAATATATATATGCCATATTTACAGAGTCACGGTATAGCTACCATTTTTAATATGACAAAAGTTTTGTTGCCCAACCCTCCGAATTTGGAAAAATGAGGTCGGCAATAATTTGCCGACCTCAATCTGTTTGAGGTCGGCAAAAATTATTTGATACAAAGGTCTGACCATAAAACATAGAAACAAGGTCACCAAAAAATTGCCGACCTCAAACACTTTCAGGTCGGCAGTTAGGTCAGCATTGCCGAATGTCGACCATAATTCCGAGGGTTGGTTGCCATAAATCAATCAGCCCTTTATTTTTATTGAAGAAAAAGTTTCAAGTATAAAAAAACAAGCATTTAAAACAACAAAAGTAATAAGAATAAGATTCATACAAAACTATTTTCAATTCATCATTAATTATATTCCTAAAAAAATTTAGTGAAACTGGCACCATTTCTGCGTTTTGTCGTTACCAAGTAACAGAAATTGTTAAAACTTTTACCACTAGTTCATTAAAAGACAAATCTGGGTATAAAGAAGAAATGAAACCTTTAAGAAGTGAACTCTCTAGAGGAAAGGTAGTTGCTAAGATACTTTTTTTAAAGTCTTAATTATTATATCTAATATTTATGATAAATATGTCAATGCTAAATCAAATGGCTGAAGAAGAAAAATTATTATACATTTTCTTTTAGTGTAAATCTAACTTGGATGTACCGCAAGATAGTGAATTTTTACATAAAACAGCTAATGGAGACTTATACGATCAAGTTGAAAGTCTCTCATTTTTTTCATTAAATAATGTTAGGTACTGATTCTTTCTTGACTAAGTTTTTTTACTTTATTTTAAACTATATATATATATATATATATATATATATATATATATATATATATAATTTATATATATATATATATATTATATATGTATATATATATATATATATATATATATATATATATATATATATATATATTATATATATATGTGTGTGTGTGTGTGTGTGTGTGTGTGTGTGTGTGTGTGTGTGTATATATTATTTTTACTTTGTTCAAATCTATATATATATAAATATTTTTGTGTGTATATAAATATATATATATATATATATATTTAATATATATATATATATATATATATATATATATATATATATATATATATATATATATATATATGTGTGTGTGTGTGTGTGTGTGTGTGTGTATATATATTATTTTTACTTTGTTCAAATCTATATATATAAATATTTTTGTGTGTATATATATATATATATATATATATATATATATATATATATATATATATATATATATATATATATATATATATATATATATATCAGTCTTCTCTGCTTAAAATTTTATGCTAGCGTACAACTAAGTGCTGTCCGGATGTTAATTTTTATGCTGTTATTCCCAATTTCAAAATCATCTTTATTTGCTATTTAAATTAAAAACTGTGAAAAGAATGCTTTGAATAAATTCTAAATAAAATAATTAAAATAAAAATGGCAAATTAAGGTAATTAAAATAAAAATTGCAAAACTTTACTGTAAGTAAAAAAACTATATGTTTTACATATAGTTTTTAATTACAGTAAAGTTATTTTTTTGTGTGAAGTTTATTGGATTTAAGATCTTAAGTTATAATAAAAAGTCATAAAAGATTTTGGAACAATTTTAAAGTTTTTAGTTGCTTATTTATTTTTTTCAAAATCCAATAAGATACTATAGAACCAAACGGACTTTAGTTTATAAATTTAAAGGACTACAGGTTTTAAATTTTAAAAACATAAGCCGTATAAATTATTGTTTTTTTTTGTTTTTTCAAATTTAAAAAATTAAATTTTAAACTTTAATTATTTTAATTTAATTCAATTATTTTTAACTGCATAGCTTAACAACTATGGTTATTGGAGTAGATAAAAGTTCTCACTATATTTTGGCAGGAGCTGGTAAGTTTTTTTTTTTTATTTTTTTCATATAAAACTTTAAAAAAAACTTTATTTTATGTATAAAATTTATATATAATAAACTTTATATACAGTGCTGTGGAGTCGGAGTCGGAGTTGCAGAGTTACTACATTTTTAGCGGAGTCGGAGTCGCTAAACAAAATCATGATTCCGACTCCTATAGTAAAACTTCTCGGTATTGCACGTGCATGTACAAAACATTCAATCAACCCATACTAAACCTCAAAGAATGTTTCATAAATTTGTCAAAAAAAACTTTTTAACATATTGTGTAATATTTTTTAAAGAATTCAAAGAGTTTTTAAAAAGTTTTGCTATGGAGTTGTAGTCGAAGTCGGAGTTGCACTCAAAAAAATTTAACAACTGGAGTCGGAGTCGTTACTTTTTTTTTATGACTCCACACCCCTGTTTATATATATATACAACCCTCGGAATTAGGAAAAATGAGGTTGGCAAGTTATTGCTGACCTCAATCTTTTTGAGGTCGGCAAAAATTATTTGATACAAAGGTCTGACTATAAAATATAGAAACAAGGTTGGCAATTTTTTTCCAACCCCAAACACTTTTAGGTCGGCTATGCCGAATGCCGACCTTAATCCGAGGGTTGTATATATATATATATATATTTATTTCTACAATATAGATATTACAAATCTTTGCAGTGTAGTATTGTAATCCTACTATAGTAGCAATTAGTTAATTATTTGTTTTGTGTTAAGACATCATATTTTTTCTTGAATTCGTTAACTGTTTTTGATGTTTATAAGTTATTTGGTAAATTATTCTGATGTGGCACTATCCTGTTGCTGAAGAAATTTTCACGGTAATTGTGTTTAGTAAACTCTCTGTACTCTTTGTGTGGTTCTCCTCTGATATTAGAAGATGGACCTTTTAGAGTTGAAGAAGAAGTTTTTGAGTTTGGATGACACCAGTTTACTTTGTTTAAATTTGTTTTTATTTTATAATATTCGCTGAGGTCCCCTCTAATTCTTCTGGATTTGAGACTTTTTGACTTGATAAACGTTTTTCATAAGAATTGAGCTTGAGACCTGGGATATATATATATATATATATATATATATCTGCTGCTAAGTTAGGATCTGCAATTGTTGTATCTGTAGCTAGAGATCTCTGATCCTTCTTGCACTTTATCTATGCCAGTGACACCATGTGTGCGGCTCGTGAATGCATTTTTACACTATTCTACAATAAATATTTTTTAAATATTACATACATTCAGAATATTATTAGAAAGAATAATGTACATGTACACAACATGCATGCAAGTGCTCCCCTAGCTAGATGTTATTAAAAGCTAGCTAGAAGTTATTAAAGCCACAAAATTGACCTTTCTAAAGAGGCTGTAACTTTGGTAGTGACAGACCATTATATCTACTGTCTAACAAATTAATATTTATATTCCTGCTGAGAGCAATTAAATAAATCTTATATTATCGCTCACCAAACTATTTCAGTTTTGTCACTTTATAAAGTGTGAAAGTGCTGTATACTTCACTATATTAATATAAAACCATAATCAGATATTCATTTAAAGCATCTTACCTGTACAAATGTTATTCTTGTTCTAATATAATAATAATAATTCTAAGAAAATTTGTAGTTTATGTGGTCTTGAATCTTGGTCCACTATTACTCTCTATACCTGGTGATTTATTGTTAGAGTAAAAATGTGCTGCCCTCTGTTGAATAAGAAATAAATGTGTTATGGACTTGGTCCATTTTTGCTCTAAAAATATAGCAAATTTTTAGCAGTTTTACATACATAAGGGTCATTTGAAAAAAAAAAAAAAAATATATATATATATATATATATATATATATATATATATAGAGAGAGAGAGAGAGAGAGAGAGAGATGTGACGCGTTTTTTGGGTTTTTTTGGTTGTTTTTTTGGAGAAAAAAACATAGGGGTCCGTTTTTTTGTTTTTTTTGGGAAATATTCAAAAATTCATTGTTTAAGTTACAAAATTTAATGGCAATATCTTAATTCATATTTTAATTTCTGATTTAAATAGGACAATAAATACTGAAATTTACTGAATTAATTTTTGTTTTGGTATATTAACACGGTTAAAGGTTAACACGGTTGAAGCAGTCCTGTATAAAAACTTCTTTGATAGTTTTATCTTCCTCAATTTTATTTTTATTGTTTTTAGTGTATATTGACACAAACATTATTTATTTACATTTATTATATTTAATAAAAGTTAACAACTAATAAATGAGACTTAGCATAATAAAGAGTCAAGTGAGAATGAGTATTTGTTAATGGAACTAGAGATAATAACTCTTTTGAGCAGCCACCATGATAGAATTTGTATAAAAGAGAAAAAGGTGCAACTTTACGACAATGGGAAAGAGGCTCAAGCTTAGCAGATAGAGCTTGTTTAGAAGAAAAAGGGCATCATAAGAAAAACCAGCCCAAACATGACAACAACATTCCATACAGGGACAAAAAGATATTTGTAGAGGTAGAGAATAGAATCAAGGGTAAGAAAATGACGATAATGATAAGATAGATAACAAGATAAGAAACAAAACAGGACCAAGAATAGAACCTTGAGATACCCCAGAAGTTACTGGAAATAAATAAGTAGGCCTTTGATGATGATTATAATAAAGCAGTTAGAACGAAATGATTTAATAATCCCAGATACACAATTTGAAGTTTCAAGTCTAATTTAAGTTTAATTGTTCAATATTTAGTTCATACTTAAGCTCATTTTCTATTCAACAGGTCCCAAATATTGTTTAAATGGTCTCTAAAATGTTTACATTAAAAAAGTCAACTTATAACTCAAATAAAGAGAAATTTTATATAAATCTTTTCTGAATTAGAATCTAAAAATAGATTAACACAAAAAATAACCACACCACATTAACAACACTGAGTAGTGATTTTTAAAAGCACTATAATATCTATATATACATACATATATATATAAAGAGAAAGGATATCTTTAAATTATTAAGTGAATTGTTTTTTCTTGTTGGTAATCAACAGGAAGAACAAAAAGAATTATGATTAGGCTCTCCATATAGGGGGCAGAAGTAAAGCCTTAGTCACCCATTTATTTTAACTTCTGAACCAAATTAGTAAAATGGAAAAAGATAAACAATTCTTTTGCCATAAGATTATGTCTAAAAATTGAACTTAAAAAACAGAGCATATTAAAGAATTTTGCAAGTGTTCTGATATATGAAAATATCTAGATGAATAAATAATGTAATTAGAAAAAAAAAATGCTGTTAAAAAATTAATTACAAATAAATAAATTACGAATCATCAGGTGAATGGAGTCTGGGAAACTCCGTAAATAATAATAATTATAAAATTTTTAAATTTTCCTTGAAATTAAGTTCAGTATAGGGCTTTTTTTAATATGGGCATACTAGCAATATTTTTTTTTTTTGATATAACAAACAAACAATGTAAGACTTAATTACTACATAATATACAAATGCTTAATAAAGTTAATAATCTTGATAGATTGCTTATTTTTTTGAGCATTCGAAGTCTTTTTTATAGAATAAGAATAGTTTTTATATATAATGAGAGTATCACAGTTGTTAGTACAACAAAACAAAAAATAAACATTTTCATACAGTATGCCTAGATATATAACTAACTTAAAGCTAATTTAAATTTTTTATAAAAAATTTATCTTAAATTGGTGTTTATACATCAAATTGTGCCTTTAATAGCCAAATACTAAGATTATACTAGAGTAAAGGAAAACTAGTCCAAAATTTATGTCAAAAAAAAATTTATATATATAACCCTTGGAATTAGGGTCGGCATTCGGCAATTTAAACATCCAGAAAAGACTTTTAAGGTGAGTTTCCACTCACCCGTTTTTCAACAGGAAAGGTAAAGGAAACGGAAAAATAATCACATGAGCATGCTCAGTTTTCTTTCGGACAAATAAAAAACTTTATCACGCATGCTCACGTGATTATTTTTTCCTTTCCTATCCCGTTCCCGTCTAAAAACGGATGAGTGGAAACTAAACTTTACTGTTTTTATTAATGCACAGCGATTTTATAATTGGAAAGCGAGAAAACTAATTGCTATTTATTTGTAAAATAAAAATAAAAAATTTTTAAACAAGTTTTTCATATAAAAAAATAAAAAGTTGTTAATACTAATATTTATATATAAAATATTTGGTTGTTTTTAATATTCCCAATGAAATAGTCTGTACTTTTGTAGGATTTTCCAAATTTTCCATTTAAACCTGATAGTTAATTTCCTGATGAACTTTTGTTATTGATGATGCTCCAAAGCTTGCGGGCTAGTGCATTGTGGGCATTGTTATTTTATAAGTTAAAAGATGCGAACTGCCATGGTCAGTTTGTTTAAAAAAATTACTTTAAACATGGACAAGCAAGGCATGCGACTGCGCACGCTTCTTGGGAAGGCTTTATATATATGTATATATAAATATATATATATATATATATATATATATATATATATATATATATATAAATTTTAATAAAAATCACAATATTTTTTATTCTTGACATGTTTCGTAGTCTTACTACATTTTCAAAAGATTTAATTTACAATTAAAACTCTGGTAAATAAATTTAAAAACTGAAGACAATACAGAGAAAAAATTAACGGACACAAAACTTGTTACAAACCAATTAAAAATTATATTACAAATTATGACAAAATAAACTTCCTAATATTAAAATAATAATAATAATAATAATAATAATAATAATAATAATAATAATAATATAGTAAGTTAGATAGATAAATTTATAATTTATTATTGAGATGTTTGTTTATTTAAAGAAGGATTTTGCCATTTAATATGAAGTGCTTCTTTTGTTTTTAATTTTTTAATGGTAGAGGCAGTATCCAAATCTGAAAGATTCTAAAAAAATTTGAAAGCAATCATAATTAGTTAGTGTTTTACAATTAATGTACGAATTTAAATGTTTAA